TAGTACTATCCAGCTGTCCATCCCTGCTTTAGCAGCTAGGCACAGCCACAGACAGCATGCAAGTGGGTTTTCCTGTTGCATCAACGATAAAAAGGAACTGACGCAATTCAAATGTGTCTTGAATTTTTTTCCCCAAATTTTAGACACTTTAAGAATATTAACTCCTAGGCAGTTTAGAAATGACTGGCCTGGCTAGGGGTGATAGCTTACCAGCCCTGCTGTGACTGTATATGGCTCCAGGTAGTCCTTAGGATTTGCCGTGCTAACTGTTCCAACTTTCAATTTGTAGGCTCTTGAAAATCATGAATTTGCAACAAATTGGACGGAATTATTACAACCCAAGTGACCCAATTGATATTCCAAATCACAGGTTTGTAGAAAATTCTACCATCCTTTAGGCTGTACAGACTTTGCAGTGTTCTATAAATTAGAAACAGCCTGTTGTTGGTGCTAAAGAGTTAAGGGAGTATATAACCTGGCTTGAACGATGCAGTCATACCAGACTGCGTACATTAAAAATGAATCCCATCTGAGCCAACAGCACGGACCGACCATGTGTGTACACTGCTGTCGGTCCTCAGTGGCAGCAGCTGAGACATGGTGGCTCAGGATGCTAGCGCAAAGTAAGGGTGGGCTTAATCAGGTCAGAGTATAATTAGCAAATGCTGCTGAAGCTGTGGGAAAGACAGGCCTCTGTCTAGAATCTTGTACTAGGAAGTGAGCTGGCTTGGTGCTTTCTACTTCAGACACAGGGAAGGGAGGCTGCACCTGACCCACCTTGTGTTGGCAGGTTGGTGATCTGGCCTGGCTTCACGACTTCCATCCTTCAGTATGAGAACAACATCATGCTCTGCACGGACGTCAGCCACAAGGTCCTCCGCAGTGAGACCGTTCTGGACTTCATGTTCAACCTGTACCAGCAGACAGAGGAGCACAAGTTCCAGGAACAAGTGTCAAAGGAGCTTATAGGTCTAATTGTCCTCACCAAGTAAGACTTCATCTCAAGAGCTGGGGGCTAGAAAACAGTGAGGCTGGGGGAGTCAGGCAGAGGTGAACAAAAGGGGGACAGATGTGTTGGTTGTGTGGTACTTGTTGTCTTTCCTGTGGTCATGAACAAAGGACAGGGGCCTCCTGCTCTTCACCCTTCCCCATTCTGTTTCCAGCCATTGTTTAGTCCCTTCCCCTGCCCTCCCCTATCACACATCACCAGGGGACTGGGAGTGTGAGCTGGGGCCTCATGTCCCAGATGCCCACAGGTACAACAACAAGACTTACAGGGTGGATGACATTGACTGGGATCAGAATCCAAAGAGCACCTTCAAGAAGGCAGACGGCTCAGAGGTCAGCTTCCTGGAGTACTATAGGAAGGTAGGTCATCCCTTGGGTGGTGTGCAGGAGCACACAGGCCCTGCTTAGTCTTGCCTACATCACCAAGAAATCCCCCTTGTCGGAAGCACCCTGCCCTAGCAGCTTTGTCCAGCAGAATGGTTGCATTTGATAGTGTATCTTGGGGACAGACAGGTACTGCCAGTGGTGGCAAGTAGCTTGCTTTGGTCCCTTGCTCTGTAGCTTTTCCTGGTCCTTGCCAGCCAG